GTGACACTCCATTGAAACTCCTGGGAAACAATACCACATCCCAGCCCAGATCCAGCCCATCTCTTCTAACCTGGAGATTCTGTATGGAAAAAGTTCAAAGATGGTCTATTTTATCTGCTGGACTTCCCTCCTCCCCTGGGGGGGAGGGGTGTTTAGGATTTGGCCCTAAAAAAATCAATGAGTTGATTGGACATAAAAACCAGTTGGGAGGGGCTGAGAAGGTGGCTCAGTGGTAGAATGCCTGCCTTGCATGCATGAGGCCCTGGGTTCCATTCCTCAGCACCACATAAGCAGAAAAGCTGGAAGTGGTGCTGTGGCTCAAGCAGTGGAGTTCTAGCCTTGAGCTGAAGAGCTCAGGTACAGCACCCAGGACCAGAGTTCAGGCCCTACAATGGATCAAAAAAACAAAAACAAAAAACAGTGGGGAATGTGAGAAGCAGAAGGGCAGGACTTCCTTTCCCATGCTGCCATCACCACCACGCAGGTGGGGCCACTGGGGGACGGGGCACCAATATACACAGGCTGGATGTTCCAGGGAGAGAGGAGGAGACACACTGCAAGAGTCTGCAAGAGATGCAACTCCTGGAGCAGAGCAGTGACTGGGCTCTCTTCAGGCTTGAGAAGAGCATGGGCTGACAGAGAGGCCCAAGGTGGCCCAGGCTGGCAGAGGGGCCTGCACAGAACCGAGAGGTCTGTGGAAAGGCCTGTGCAGAGCCAAGGTCTGCACTGAGGCCAAAGACCTGTGTAGAGCAGAGAGGCCTGTGAAGGGTGGAGAGGCCTATGGAGAGCCAAGAAGCCTGCAGAGAACAGTGAGCCCAGAGGCCTTCAGAGAGCCAAGAGGCCAGCATAGAGGCCTGTGGAAAGCCGAGAGGCTTGCAAAGAGCAGATAGGGCCATGGAAAGACCCTCAGTGAGCAGAGAGGCCTACAGAGAGCACAGAGGCTTGCAGAGAGGCCTATGGAGAGGCAAGATTTGTGGGAAGGAGGAAGGAGGGAAAGCAAAAAGGAAAAAAACTCACCCCCTTGGAGGTTGCAGCTGCTCCTAGTTCTGAGGTAACCTAAGATAGGGTAGTTGCAGACCAACTAATAAAACTCCTTTGTCCCCCTTAACCATACCTCTGTGGATTTTCTCACTCGCAGGTCCTAACAGAACTACAGACTAATTTCTCTGATGAACACAGATGCAAAGCTCTTCAATAAAATACCAGCGAACAGAATAAAGAGACAAATCAAATAAATCATGCATTATGACCAAGTAGGCTTCATTCCCCAGATACAAGTCTGGTGTAACATACGCAAATCAATAAATGTAATTCACCAAATCAACAGAGACAAGGACAAGAACCACACGATCATCTCAACAGATGTAGAAACAGCCTTCAGCAAAATACAATATCCATTCATGTTCAAAGCTTTGGGAAAGGCTGGGAATAGAAGGAATATTTCTTAAAATAACAAAGGCTGTATGTGACAGACGCCACAGCTAACTTATACTGAATAGGGAAAAACTAAAACCATTTCTCCTAAAATCAGGAACAAGGCAAGGATGTCCACTCAATTCACTCCTCTTCAATTTAGTTCTGGAAGTCCTAGCCAAAGCAATAACATAAGAGAATAACATAAAAGGAGAGAGAAAGGAGAAATTAAAGTATTCCTATTTGCAGCTGACATGATCTTATACCTAAAGGACCAAAAAAACTCCAACCCCAAACTCCTAAAGCTGATCAACCTCTTTGGCAAAGTAGCAGGATACAAAGTTAACCCACAAAAATCAGTAGCCTTTCTGTATGCCAACAATGTACAAGAGGAAAGGGAAACAGGAAAACAACCCCATTTGCAATAGCCTCAAAAAAATACCTAGGAATTAACTTAACCAAAGATGAAAAAGATTTTATAGCAAAACTATAAAAATCTGAAGAAAGAAATCAGAGAGATAGTACCCAGGTCCTGAATTCAAGCCCCATGACTGACAAAAAAAAAAGAACTAGAAATCAAAGAAGATACCAAGATATGGAAAGACCTTCCATGTTCATGAATAGGTAGAATTAATATTGTGAAAATGGCCATACTTCCAAAAATTATAAACAAATTCAATGCAATTCCCATCAAAATCCCAACATCATTTTTTACTGATACAGAGAATGCGATCCACAAATTGATATGAACAACGAAAGACCTATTGGCTAAAGCAATTCTGGGGGGGGGGGGGGGGGGGGGGGAGGGGAAGCAATGAGAGCAGTATCACAATACCAGATTTCAAACTCTACTACACAGTCGTAATAACAAAAACAGCTTGGTACTGGCACAGATTAGACCCAAAGACCAATGGAACAGGTTAGAAGACCCAGAAATAAAACCACATACTCAAAGCATCTGATATTTGACAAAGGAGCCAAATACATACAGTAGGGAAAACAGCCTCTTCAACAATTGGTGTTGGGAAACAGGGTAGCTAAATGCAGAAAACTAAAAGTGGATCCCTGCTTCTCATCATGCACTAGTATCAATTCAAAGTGGATCAAAGACCTCAATGTGAGACCCAAAACTCTGAAACTACTGCAAAGGAGAGGAGAAACAGAACTTACAGTTATAGGCAGGAACTTCCTGAATAGAGTCCTAGGGGCACAACAGATAGGAGGGAGATTGGACAAATGGAACTAAATTAAAATAAAAAGTTTCTGCACAGCCAAAGACATAGTTACTAAACTAGAAAGATAGGCAACCCACTATGAAAAGATCTTTACCAGCAATATATCAGACAAAGGCCTAATATCCAATATATATAAGGAGCTCAAGAAACTAACCCTTCTCAAACTTAATACACCCATTACTAAATGGGCAAGGGAGCTAAGGAGAGATTATCTCAGAAGAGGGAAGAACAGCAAAGAAATACATGAAGAAATGCTCATCATCCCTAGCCATAAAAGAAGTGCAAATCAAAACAACCTTAAGATTCCACCTCACCCCTGTAAGACTGGCCAACCTGTGAACTCAAACAACAAATCCTGGTGGGAATGTGCGGGAAAAGGAACCCTACTGTGCTGTTGGTGGGAATGTAAACTAGTACAACCACTCTGGAAAGTAGTCTGGAGATTCTTCAAAAAACTAAACATAGACTTTACCTACAACCCAGCCATACCACTTCTAGGCATCTACCCTGAACATCATGACCCAGGATACCATAAGAACACCTGCACATCCATTTTCTCTGTCATACTATTAACAACAGCCAAAATATGGAAATCATCCAGATACCCTACAATAGATGAGTGGATCCAAGAAACGTGGTACCTATATACAATGGAATACACAGCATTAGAAAGATTAAAACAATGTCATTTGCAGGAAAATGGATGGAACTAGAACAAATCATGGTAAGGGAGGTAAGCCAAGCTCAGAGACTCAAACTGTACATGTTCTCCCTGATATGTGGAAGATGTAAAACACACTGGGATATCACAAATTATATTGGATTGTAGATACTCACACACCAAAAGAAACCAAAAGAAGATAGTTTTAGGAGAGAATCACAAAGGTGTAACACCCAAACACCTTTTCATATATATATATATAAAATAATATACATACTGAAATGAATTCCAAAGATATGGAAACAAGGGACTTTTTTCTTACTTTCTCTTTTTCTTTTTCAGATGATTCTGTATTCTTAACCTACATATGGTGTATTCACATGCATATCTGTGGGAGGGTCAGAGGAGGGCACAGAACTTGAGGAAAAAGGATGAAAAGGTACAGTAGTAGAGTGCAATGAACATTGATGAAAGTGAACTATGCAACTCATGGGTAGAGATGGGAGGGAGGGAATGGTAAAGAATGAGGGAACAGATGAAACTGTATGAAAGGAAATGTACTTATTACTTGATGCATGTAAATATAACCCCGTGTATTATCGCTATAATAACAATAATTTTTTTAAAAATATTAAAATCAACAGAGCCATATACTGATGGCACATGTTTATAATCCTAGCCACTCATGAAGCTGAGATCTGAGGATCATGTTTAATGCCAGATCAGGCAAACAAATCCAAGAGATTATTATCTCCAGCTAATTAGTAAAAAGCCGGAAGTAGAGGCGTGACTCAGATGGTAGAGCACCAGCCTTTAGTGAAAAAGCTAAGCAAGAGATGAAGCCCCAGTGTCAGCACATAGAGAAAAAAAACCAACAAAGAAATATTCAAGTGAACATTAGATTTTTTTCCATTTTTGTATTTTAGAAATAAATTAGCTATTCATTTAATTCCACAGAATTCAGCCTCTGAATCAAATTACTTTCTATAAAATATTAGAAAGAAATTCCAAAAGAAACGTACTTATAACCTGACATATAAAACTGTTATCCCTCTGTATATCACCTTTATAGTAACAATAAGGTTTTTGTTTTTGTTTTTTTTTGGGTCCGGTCGTGGGGCCTGAACTCTGGGCCTGGGCACTGTCCCTCAGCTCTTCAGCTCAAGGCTAGCACTCTACCACTTGAGCCACAGCGCCACTTCCGGCTTTTTTCTTTTTGCTTATGTGGTGCTGAGGAATCGAACTCAGGGCCTCAGGCATGCAAGGCAAGCGCTCTACCACTGAGCCACCTTTCCAGCCCAACAATAAGTTTTTTTTTGCCTAAATAAGCTACTGCAAGACAAATTTTGTGCTTTCAGAAAATGTACATTTCCAATTGTCCTTACAGAAAAATGATTATGAAACAGAGAAGAGTCTGATACATTTTTTTAATTTTATTGTAAAGTTGCTATACAGAGGGGTTACAATTACATAAGTAAGGTAATGAGTACATTTCTTGTTGAACACTGGTACCCACTCCTTTGGTTTTTCTCCCACTATCCCTTCCTTTCCCCACTCCCTCCCTTACAGTTTTGAAGACAAATACTATAGTAATACAAAATATTAAAATATGGGCCAGTAATAGCTTCTGTAAACAAACTGGACAGGTCCTACCTACATTTTAAAAAATGTCAAGATAACCTTTTCCTTACCTTTACATTTGGCTTTTTTGTTGAAACTCCTCTGTACCAACCTAAAACAAAGCATATAAAGGGTATTAAAATCATATTGTTGTTGTTTTCTACAAATGAAAATAGTTTGTTTTGTTTTTTGTTGGTCCTGGGACTTGACTCTGGGCCTGGGTGCTATTCCTCAGCTCTTCAGCTCAAGGCAAGCACTCTACCACTTGAGCCACAGTGCCATTTCCAGTTTTCTGGTGGTTTATAGGAGATAAGAGTCTCATGGACTTTTCCGGCCCAGGCTGGCTTTGAACCACAATCCTAGATCTCAGCCTCCTGCATAGCTAGGATGACAGGCAGGCATGAGACACCAGTGCTCAGCAAAAATAGTACTTTTTTTGTGTGGCAACACCAGGGCTTGTACTCAGGACCTTGTACTTTTACTCAGCTTTTTTGCTCACAGCTACTGCTCTATTACTTGAGCCATGTATCCAGTCCATCATTTTGCTGGTTAATTGGAGACTTTGCTGGTTAATTCACAGACTTCTGCCCATCCTTGAACTGCTATACTCCAGATCTCAGCATCTTGAGCAGCTAGGATTACAGGCATTAGCCACCAGTACTCAGCTTAATAGAAGTATTAAATACACACACACACACACACACGCGCACGCGCACATATCCAAAACTTTCCTTAACATACAAACTGTGGCCTTATTAGGCCAACTGTTCAAAAAGGAACAGTTCATTTAGTATCCTGATAGTTGACTGAATTTTAAAAATCAGATATATATTGTCCTTAGGTGGAATCTTTAGAATCTTGCAATATAGAACAATGTCATTTGTAAGCCAGAATGCTTTGATTCATCCCTTCTTATTTGCCTAATATCTCTGGCTAACATTTCCAATACCAATCTGAGTAAGACCAATGAGGGTGAACAACTCTTTGTTGCCAATCTTAGAGAAAATGATTTCAGCTTTACCCTATTCTACATAATGTTGGCTATGAGTTTGGCATACAGAGCCTTTATTTTATTACAATGAGGTATCATCACTCTAATAGAATATATTCAGAGCCACAGCCTTTATCATGAAGGAATATTGAATTTTATCAATACTCTTTTGGCCTCTGTTGAGACAACTACACTTTTATCTTTCAATCTGTTGATGTATTGAATTATTTTATTGATCTGCACTTGGTAAAACCTTGTATCTCTGAGATGAAATCAACTAATGCTCCTTCACTTGGGAATGATAAAATGAGACATGTATTTGAATGTAAACATTATTTATTACATTTACTAAAAATGATAAACTCCCTAAAATAAACTGTGCATTACACAGTAAAGACAAAAAATTCAATAATGTACATCTCACAAGTCCACATTAAGAAATTAAATATTTGCACTCTAAATACACAATATTTGTAACTAAATGTGATTAAAAATTAAGGTAACAAATGAAACATTCTTAGATATAATGTTAATTTATATTTTATATTAGGGATTTTAGAATGTAAGAACTGTTTAAAGTATATTCTACTTGGCAATATTCACACAAAAGAAATAAAAATATGGAAATTCCTTAAATTAAAAAATAACCATGCCAAGCACCGTTGGCTCATGCCAGTAATCCTAGCTACTCAGGAGGCTGAGATCTTAAGATCATGGTTCAAAGCAAGCTCAGCAGTAAAGTCTGTGAGTCTCTTATCTCCAATGAACTAACAGAAAACGGGAAGCAGAGCTGTGGCGTAAGTGATAGAGCATTTGCCCTGAGCTGAAGAGCTGAGGGCCAGCGCCCAGGCCCAGAGTTCAAGCCCCACAACTGACAAAAATAATAATAATAAAAATAATCATATAAGAAGGGATTGATCATATATTCATAGAAAAAATAGAAAAATGTTAAACCTCTTAATGGTAATTAACGTACAAAAAGAAGACACTGATAGACTTAGATAAATAATAGAAGTGGAAAAGATAGAAGTGGAAAAGAAACACATGTGTGTTTACCATCACCAATGCTAAGTATTAGTTCCTGTATGAATGAAATGGAGGAGAAAAACTGGGTTTATCTTTGTTAACTTAATTCTGAATCACATCTTCTGTGATTGGTCATGCTAAGCACATTTTAGATATAAATGAAAAATCACTTGAAATTAATAAGAAATAAAAAAGTATTTTTTCTCTTTTAATCTTAAGTTATACAAGCAAGTGAAACACAAATTACAAAAAAAGTTTAGAAAAATGTTGAGTCACGAGTGTAAACTTATAAAAAATTAAATAACGTAAAAGGGATGAATATTTTAATATGTAAATAAAATGATAATGACCTAGCTGAGTGCCAAGGTACATGCCTGTAATCCAGCTACTTGGAAGGCACAGCCCAGAGGATCAAGAGTTTAAAGACAGTGCTGACAATGTTCATAATACTTAAAAAACAAAAAACCAGGGTGAGGGCATGGCTCAAGTGATGGAGAACTTGAGACTGCCTCACATGCTTGAAGTCCAGGTTCGGTCCTCAAAAACACAAAAATGTTAAAGGTAATGACCTACCCTTCCACCACAGTCTGTGCTAGACGCTATCAAAACTGAAATTTCAATCACTGCTGACTATCACGTTAGTAAATATGCATCATCCTTTAGATTATGAACCAATGCAAATGAAACTGTACTGGCTCAAAGTACCACTGCAATTGTACTAACAAAGACTAAAGAACAATGTAAGCAGTATTAACCCAAAGAATGAAGTCTCTGTGTACACCAGGCCACACAACAATCAACAATCAGTAACCCTTTACAAAGATTCCAGATGCAAAGCATTCAAGATCAAAAGTACCAAATGCAGGTCAACAAAAAGTGCCCTTTGACAAGAAGTTTCAAGATTTTTATTTCATGGTATAATATGTGTTTCTTATTCTCAAAATGAAAACAAATACAGGCTTATTGACCCTCAACCTCATCTAACAGCAGCACAGACAGTAGACAGGTAGTAGGCAAACACAACGAAAAAGGTAGAAAAGACAGAGCACAATTTCCCTTGCGCCCTATGACTTAAAAGTTTTATTGAAAAAGCATTTTATGAAGAACAGACTTGCATGACAACACATTAAAGACAAATTAAGTAACCAATTGTGAATGAGAGTCAAAAACAAAACTGAAAACCTTTCAAAATGTCTTTCTCATTAACTTGAAAAAATACAGACCTCCAAATTTCATTGCAACAACGAGCAAGAAAAAAGGATGTATCAGTAAAACTAAAAAGGTTGACATTGAGGGCTATCTAAGTAATAGACTTCAAGGAAAAATCCCTAAAGAAGTGAATTATAGCAAATCAAAAATTTTGCATATGACCCTCCAGTCCTGAAACTACCACATCTGTAAACTGGTATACAAGAAAGAGCTCCAAGAAACCCAGCAGAAAGCACCAGCTGCAAGGCTGGAGAGCTGAGTAGAACCACTTTACCTTCAGAAGAAAACAACAGCACCCTCTGATGACTTTTCATCAGAAATACAGTAGTCAAATAATAATTATAACAAATTATAAAAAGGCTAAGAAAGGGGCTGAGAAGGTAGCCCAGTGGTAAAGTGCTTGCCTTGCATGCATGAGGCTCTAGGTTTGATTCCTCAGCATCACATAAAGCAGAAAAAGCCGGAAGTGGCGCTGTGGCCCAAGAGGTAGTGTTAGCCTTGAGCTGAAGAGCTGAGGGACAGCACCCAGGCCCAGAGTTCAGGCCCCACAACCAACAAAAAAATAAATTAATTAAATGCTAAGAAATTTTCTATCAACCTAGAAAGTCCTGCCTAAAGGAAAATAGCCTTCAAAAATGAGAAGTCCAAGCTGAAAGAATAAACAGCAAATCTGCACAGTAAGAAATACTACTAGTCAGATGCAGTGGCTCACCTACTATTCTAGAGGCAAAGATCAAGAGGAGCATGGTTTCAAGGCCAGGCCAAGCAAAAAGTTCACAACTTTTAAAGCTGGAGGTGGTGACACATGTCTGTCATTCAGCTACAAGGAAAGCATAAACAAGAGGCTGGCTTCCACAGTCAAGGCTGGTACTGGCATAAATGTGTGACCCTATTTGAAAATGGGTTCTACAAGTTTGTTTCTATTGTTTTCCAGGAAACTTCCTCAATTTTATTTTGTAATTTTTTTTTTTTTTTTTTGGTGTGTATGCCAGTACTGGGACTTGAACTCATCAAATCCTCTTGCTCTCTTCTTGGCTTTTTCTCTCAAGGCCAGCATTTTACCACTTGAGCCACACCTCCACATCTGGCTTTTTGCTGGTTAATTGTAGATTTCTGTCCACGTGGGCCTCAAATCTTGCTCCTTCGATTTCAGTCTCCTGAGTAGCTAGAATTACACCTTGAATTACACCTTGTGTTCGGATATGATCCTTCTATTCCTACTTTCTTCAGAGCTTTTTTTTTTTAATGGCTTGTACTCTACACAGAAGCTGCACTCCAGTTCTAACTTGTTGGTTAATTGGAGGTAAGAGTCTGATGAATTGTCTGACTGAACTATGATCCTCCAATCTCAGCCTCCTGAATAACAAGAATTATAAGCATGAGAGGCAATTATTTTCTTTTATACCTTAGACCTAGACAGATACTCTTTTCTTTCTGCTTAGAAAACTTCTAAGTGACCTATGGGAATATATTTTATTCTTCTCATGCCTTTCCCTGAGTCAGCACACTTCTCTGTTCTGTATATGTGTCTATGCTAGTCATTATTTTATATTATAGCCATGTTTGTAACTTTTAGCTCAAGTGTTTGGTGACTGATTTGCTGCTATGCAAGGCAGATGAGATTACCTCTGAAAGGTTTAACTGTCTTGTACCTTGGATAATTAGAATTAGACTGCCAATTACATTTTCAAATCCATAGTACTTATAAACACATGTGTGCATTAAAAAGATTCAAGCGGCTGGGAATGTGGCTTAGTGGCAGAGTACTTGCCTAACATGCATGAAGTCCTGGGTTCAATTCCTCAGTACCACAGAAACAGAAAAAGCCAGAAGTGGCGCTGTGGCTCAAGTGGTAGGTAGAGTGCTAGCCTTGAGTGAAAGAAGCT